AACCTAGAAATCTATGAATCTATGAATGACAGCTGTCCCAGGACTCAAGATGATTTGCAGGAATTAGGCTTTGCCATGGCTGAGGAAAAAAAATAGGACACAATGCACTGCTAGCACAAGGAGATGGAAGTAGGAGACAGCCTTTCTTATCCCTCCCAGTGATTGAGACTGATGCTTGTCTTGTAGTCATTGAGCAAATTCCACACCAAGCACTAAGAAATTGTAGTCGCTCTCAGTTGCTCTTTCAGGAGTGATGAGCATCAGCCCAAGTGGTGGTGATGACAGACAGTTTGCTACACAGCTTCAAGAGTCAACTGCTGACCCACCAATCTGGAAAGCAGGCCTGAAGCACATCGGCCAGAAGACTGAACCACAATTCACAAGTCCACCAGAAGTAGAGACAGGAGCAACTTTTCAGGGAGAGTTTTGAGGAGGATGACACAGGTAAGCTTTGGCCTGACATTCAGGAGACCTACAGGGTGGCCCTGCATCTTTCAGAATGGGAGCTGACACAGGTACAGCAGTACGGTAAGTGTGCTTCGAAAATCATCCATGAAATCCTGTAAATCTGTGCTGAATGTGTTTTTCCCCCTCTTACCACCCTCTTATACTCCCATGATACAGGCCATTTCTGTTTTCAGAGTTCAGAGAAGCCTGGGAATAACTCTTGCTCAGGAATCCAAGACAGACTACAGAGTATGTGTGAAGCTACTTACTGACATTGTGACAGAGACACCTTTCAGGCGAAGGCTAATGTTTTGAAGATAGTGAAGCTGTTGTCTACAAACTCTTCAGCCTAGGCTTTGTACTTTCAGGTTCAAAGCATTCAGAAACCTGCGCACAACAGTTGGAAGCAACAAACTGGAATAATTTCCGAAGAATGGAAAGAACGGAAAGAACCACCTATCCCTCATAGGAAACAGAATCTCTTATCCACTTAATGACAAAAATATCAGTTCACAGTGTTTCAGATTTTTGCAACGAGCATCAGAGAGGCCATATATTTTTACAAAAAGACCTCTTGGAGTCCTAAGAGCAAGAAGACACTTCGGAATTGAAGGGAGCAGAGTTTTCTGAAACAAATCAAATCACAAATCAATCAAGTTGTCTCTAATGCCACAGACCCCTTGTCTAATTGAATGATGAAATACACGGAGCTACTTACTAAACCTGAGGAAGCAGAGCTGATACTGTGAAAGATGAGCTTTTATCACACCACCCTAGAATAACCTGATGAGTAGTCGATAATAAAATTCTTTTGTTCTTTCCAAAGTTCAGCCACAGAACTTAAACTTAGCAGGAAAAAATCTTTTGTCACGAGGATACCGTTCTTAACACAAGCTTCCTGCAATGGTGGAACTGGCCTGAGAAATGAGTGCAGAAATAGCCTTGCAGTTTTGTAATCTTCACAATTTCATGAATTCCCTATTCAACTGTGTCCCTTTACCAGGCTGCTCTCATTGCCCTCACTGACCCTATTCAATTGCTTCATTCACAAACATAAAGGCTTCTGTTTCAGACCAAGAACTGAAGTATTTGTCTAGCAGCCTTCTCTAGAAGAAGAAATACTCTAGAACATCCCAGGTACTTTACAAAATACAGTCCAATATGAAGCCCACAGAAGAGAAACAGCTGTGCAGAAGGCCCCACACTCTTTAAGCTAAGGAAACAGCCTGATTTAAATCTCCTCGCTGAGGAAAAGAGCCCTTTTCACAGCACAGGAATCTCTAGGACAGACACAGCTATCAGATATCTATCCATCTATCTTTAGGGACTTTACTTTTTGCACACCAAGATTCCACTGGCATAACAACACTGTAAATCATTTCCGAAGTCAGTAATAAAGCCAGTGACCACGCGTTCTAATGGGTTAAAGCCCAAGATCTTCACATTCAGCTGAGAGATAGAAGGGAATCCGGACTTTCTAAATACCACAGGGGAGGGTCTTTTGCTTGGAGACAAGTGACCTATGCTGGCAAAGCACATGGACAGCGCTTACAGAGACACATCCACAGTCAGGGTTGCACTAAGGGCCAGCTGCTGCTCTTGCCTTAGCAGTAGAGACTGCAGAGCACAAAGGAGGAATGATGTTCTCCATTCTACCACCCATGAAAGGAATAGGGGGCCACTCCCTCCGTTTGTCACCTGTTGTACTCCAGCTGCTCCAAGGAGAAGATGTGTTTGTTGAAATATTCCTGGAGTTTCTCATTTGCATAGTTGATGTTAAACTGCTCAAAACGATTCACCTATAAGAAGAAACGAAGATTATAAAACTTAACATGCTTGTTCCTGGGCTCTAAAAGAATATAAAACAGTGCTCGGAAAGGTGTCAGGCTTGGAATAAAGCCAGCGATCATAGAGGCAAGGGGTGTCAGATGAGGAGGACAGTATGGGGAGGTCCACCAGGAGAACTGCTTTTGTAGCTCATGCAAAGTTAATTCAGTAGGCTTAAATGGTAGTAAAGGATGCTAAAGACAAATCTCTCTTCTTCTTAGGAAGAAAGAAATATAATTTCCTACGTATTAGGTCACTGGGATTTCTCTTCTGTGAAATATCTGAGCAGTCACTATACGGCTACTCAAACATACATCTCTTATCAGCTGCAATCAGAAGCATTACACACAGGATTCTCAACACAAGGCAAAGCAGATGTAAACAAACAATGTACATATAGGAGTTGGACATTTAATCTGTATATAAGTCAAAAATTCAATATTATCTATCACAGCACATCTGTGTCTGTGTCACAATCCAAACCTTGAACATCAGCCCACATGAATACAGGTGGCAGAAAGGGTAGCTAAATGTATCTTGTTCTCACAGAGGGAAGCGGCAGTGGAGAAATTCCAGCATTCCCTATGCTAACATAAACAGGACAGAAACTGCCCAAAATTCCTTCCTATATGCTCTGACATCTCCAAAACCAACCCACCCTGCAAAAGACAAAATCCTGACCTGAAAGTTCTCGAAGCCAAAGATATCCAGGATGCCCACAGACTTAAAGTTTTCCTTGCCTTTGATCTTCGTATTAATCTTGTTAATGAGCCATGAAAAACACTGGGAATACAGTGCCATAGAGAGGGAGTCTCTGGAGTCAGCTGCCTGTAAATGCAGAAAGAAAAAATGAGTCACAGGGAGAAGAGAAGGCATAAGGGGCACTTCGAACCTTTATGGGACTTCAGGTTCCTCCACTCCTCTTTAGACGTCTCAACCTCTGCACTGGTTGTGTATGGTGCAGTATTTGTATGTACAGTCGACGTTCAAGTTTGCAAATAGTCCACACACATACAGATGTAACATGTCTGACCCTTGGGTAACTGAACTTGAGAGGCTGAAGGAAGTAGCAAAATCACCAAGATCTTGTGGAACTAGTGCTGGGGAAGAAGAAGGTGGCAAAATACCTCGTGACTGAGCTCACAGCAGTCATTTGCATCACCTGAGCCAACATTTGCAGTGACAGGCAAGGTATCTCGGTTCAGTACTCCTAGTAGAGCTGTCAAAAGGATGTCTGCTCAGTTTTTCAAAAACTGGTAAGGCAGGATTTAATAGAGTATTCTGACATCAAGTTAGCCTCAAAAATCCCCTCTCCAAAACTTCCCTCCAAATAGCATTACCCTACTGGAAGCTGGGGTAGGCTGGCCAACAGCCAGGACACATGCACCAGAAGAGCATGGGTTGAGAGGCCTTTCTGGAGCTGACCCAACATCCTATGCAGCAATCATAACCAAGTGTCAAAGGTGGAAAAAATAACTTAAATTGTGATCACCACAGGCAGTAGATAATTGGGTGTGTGTGGATGAATGTCTGAAATTGAACTTCCAAAATCTCAAGCAAAAGCCTGCCACTTGATAGCTGTAATAGGAATGAGCTGGTTGTAAGTTCTGATAACACTTGGACTAAACGAAAGTGGCATGCCCCAAATTCTCCAATTAATAAAGAGACATGAGACAGAACCACAAATTAAGAGACTGATCACATGTTGTACTGCACATACACTATTTAGACTGGGAAACCAGGACTTAGAGTTCCGGAAAGAAGAGGAGGCCAAAAATAAGGGTTTCCATAAAGAAGACATGATCCCAGAGAGCAGAAAAAGGGGCCAGAAAAGAAGACAGCAACGATCTTGACTGGAAGAAAGGTGCTAGAAGTGGGGAAAGATCATGGAGATCACAGACATGTGGAGACAAATATCAGGGTATGCCCAAGGACCTTGGCTGGTAGTTCCCGAGGCTGGTGACTGCGAGGAGCTACACAACATGAACCAACAAAACTTTCTGCCCAGCCCGCCTGGACGAGCTAAAATCTCCCTAGTGGGAAAAGAAGTTGACATCTAATGAATGTAATGCCAAGGGGTGAGCAAGCAAGTATGTGAAATAATCAAGCAGGGTAAAAACTATAACCTTGTCACTTCATAAATAAACCGCAGCATCTAGACCAATTACAGGTTGTTTATTCTGTCTCGTCTGTGACACGAGGGCGATTCCTTCAGTAGGCCTGACCAGCAATATCAGAGATCTAAATGCACCCTCATCCTCTTCAGTTTTGCAAGCCTGAATAACGTGACCTCTCCTGCTCTGCTTGGCATAGGCTGACTGCCTCTGAATCCTCCCACCCCCTTTCAGCAAGCTCCTGAGGCGCAGCCTGCAAGATCTTTCTTTTCACCCACTGTTTTTCTCCTCCTTTCTCTTCCTGGGTAGTATCTCCTCTCCAGCAGCCCAAGGTCTAAGACATACAGCAACCTCCCTTCTCCAAATAAGAGAATATTTCAAAGCACGGGCACACACGTCTTTTCTAGGTATTTCTCTCCATCAGGTGGTCTGTCTTATTAGTTGGGACTGAGAATGCCCTCAAGGCCATGCCTCTGCAGTGTCTCTAGCTACACAGTAAGCTGGACTCATTTTCCCGGAACAGGACCTCCCCATCCAGCTGTAAGCAAAGCCACTTTCCCCACAATATGGCTCAAATGAGATTCTCAAAGGCTTCTTTCATCCTCCCAGCTTTGCCCGCCTTCAGGCCAGTTCATCCATTCAGCCCACTGAAATGTCAAAGCTCAGACAGGCAATGAGCCCGCTACACAATGAGAAATTCCTGGCAGCTCTATCGATGCGTTCCTGCAACAAGGGGGAATAGGTGGGCACAGGCTTAAGCAGGAACAGTCTTTACTGGCCCAGCATCCAGTGCAACAGGTTCACCTAGTGAAGATGGCTAAGTAGTAGCATCCACTTGTTAGAACAATTTTTTCTGCAGTCTTAGTACTTCACTGGGCTGCAAGCAGTAAGAGTATAGCCCAACGCGCACAAACGGCAGGAACAGCTATACTATCAGGGGAAGCTCTGCTCAGGGAGACTCTTGTAAATCCTACAACTGTGCACTGTTGTTCTGGACTGCACGGTGCCTCTCTGGCATTGTTATCCATCCTTGTGCACTGATACAGAAAGATGTGGCTTATTTAGGACAGGCAGCTGAGAAGAGGAACTGGGGTACTGGCTACTGAGGATATCTACTACACACTATAGGCTGAAAAATAATTGTCACATAATTTTATTGCAAAGAAATAAAAGACTATGAAGTTCATAAAGACTATGAAAAAAAACATTTCTTAAAGGCAAAGCTTAGCGTGTGATATATTAGCAGGTGTGTTCACAGCAAGAAAAGAAGTAGTTACTCTGTTGAAATGATTACTGCTGAGGCTTCAGCTTGAATACAGTGTCCAGTTATAGGCACTATGCTTCTTGAAAGATGTGGGAAAACAGAGACAGAAAAAGAGGTTTAGAAAATTACTTATAAGGAAACATTGAAGGAACTAGATTGTTTAGCCTAGGAAATAGAACACCACATGAAAAACTTCACAGAAGCAGAAGCTTGTAAGGTGGACAGCTGGGATGTCAAAGGTAATCTAAATATGAGGAAAAACTTTTCAGCTCCAGACTCCACTGCAGCTACAGCAGGCTACTTCAAGAGGCTGTGAAATTCCTTCCATGGGAAATCTGAAGGAAAGTTAGACAGACATCCATCAGACAAAGTCTAGTAACTCTGGTTTCTCTGCCAATGTAAGGGGTGGATTGATAACCCTCTGCAGTCTGTGCCAGTGCAAGATTTCCATTACAGATGTTGTTTTGCTATAACGTGGTGCTTATTCCGTCCTAGTAATATTATTCCTTGTTTCCCAGTGTCTTGCATTTTATTAATGAGAGAAGATTTTCTACTCTTTTCTGTGCATGGACCTGAAACACCAAGAGTGCCCTCAAGTGATCAGCAACACCACAAGCTAAAGTTAGTAGGCACAACACTGTAATGACCCACAGAGAAATGTAACAGATAAGCAGCAGTCTCCAGCATGCAGTACAGGTTCAGAAGATGAGAACTACATATCAGTTTACTTGGTCTTCCTTTGCTGTTGTATGGATACACAAAGAAGCTACTGTAGGGTAACAAACTACTATCTGCCAGATGTCTCATGGTAACCGTGTGCAAGCTTTTATCTTCCAGTAAATGCAGCGTAACCTGGGAGTTCTGCAAGGTGAAAGCATACACACATGCAATTACCACAAAGCATCTGACGTACCTTCTGCAAGACACGAGCGTGGCCAATTCCTGGTGAGTGAAAGTGACTTAAAACCAGTATTGTGCATTGCCATTTGCAAGTAAACTGCCCTGTAAAGCCTGAAGAGTGAAGTCAACACTGGAACCTGAACTACCAATAAGGGCAAAGCACCTGAGGACACAGCTGAGCACCTAGAAGGTGTAAGAGGAAATCCTAAACTTGAATGGGTGATACAAGAGAGATACAGAAGGTCTGGAAACACAGAAGTGGCAGAAGCATTAGCATACACTAGGTCACTTACCTGCTCCACAGTGAGAGGGGAGCTGATCTCTTCCCCACGCAGAATCATGGACCTCTGTGTCAGTACTTCGGAAAGCTGGAAGGCGTCTAAGCCCAGGAGGTCACTGGCAATGTTCAGCACTAATAACAAAGGAGGACACACTTTTATCTCCTGTAGGTATACCCAGTACTCATGGGGGATCCATATTCTGTAGCTCAGTAAGGAAATCCCAGGGACTCCTACAAGGCAAGTGACTAAGCCCCAGCACAAAACACGCTCCTCTTCACTGAATTTTCTTTGGCGTACCCAAAGCTGTAAGCTCACATGTCCAGTCCGAGGCAGGGTCAGCACCCATTACAGGCCACAGTCTATAACGTATAAGACACTCGTGTAAGTCAGCCTTTCTGCTGACAACAGGAAGAGCAAAACACTGTGTGAAGCTCAGCACCAGCAAAATATTTATTGAATGAGAAGATATATTTTCTGAAAGGCACAATAGTGCAGTCTGAGCGTGGGATTGCTAAACTCGGATGTCGAGAAGAGAAACAATTAACTTAAGACTGAAGCACTTGTAATATATATTTATTGCTTCTGTCTGTTTAAAGATTCACTTTACCAGACCAGCTCAGATTGGATAACTGTAACAGAGTGCACACTAGCAGATGCTTCAAAGGAAGATGTGAGAAAGTCTGTAACAGACTACTTTTATCTCAAACTCCTCCTAGTTCCCATTTCCTTCTGCTCTTTCAATGCAAAGAGAAACTGTGAGACTGTGGACTCAGTCTGAGAGCATCCAGGAGAACAAATGGATCACAGGGCCACAGCCCAACTAAATCATACGATGCTCTGGAGCCATGCATCCTGTGGCAATGCTTTTGCAGGGTTAAACTGCAGGAACCTGCTGGCAAAGGCACTGCAGACCAGCATAGCAAAGGGAGAAAGGACAATGGAGTGAGCTCGTTTGGGGGCCTTATGGGCTTTGCATGGTCTTCCAAGTTTCTAGGGTCCCACTTACCTGCTTTCGTTGTAACCTGGGCCCCACCAGCTGTCATGAATTCAACATTTCCCAGATGAAGCGTGCCAGAAAGAAGTTTGAAGATGTCTCTGATTTCTTCAGTGCTGAAGTCCACTACCTTCATGGCAGTCTATGAAAAACCATACAGCCAATGTTGGCTGTATGTACAGCCACAGTACAACGCAACCACCACACTCATGCCCTGCCTATGTTAAAATATAGAACTCAGAATTACAGTTATCATGAATCAAAGTGAAACTAGGGATGGCACAGCCCCTCTCTCAGCTATACATCTGTCAATGATCTTCACTGTCTCCCATTCTCTCCTTCATTTACCCATCTCCATCTAAGGCAGGTGGGCATTTGCCCTATCCTCAAATTGGACTTTGCTGCTTCTGTTGCCTGTCTGTCACAGGAAGAACGTGTTTGTCTGTGCATGTGTGAGGAGATCCTTCCCTGGACACTGGCAGTACCGGTTACAGATGTCACTGGATGGTTTCCACATTCTGCCTTATTGTCTTCCCTGAAGGACAGATCCATATAATTTACTTAATTTACTCTGATCCTTATAACTCCCTTAATTTAGTGGAGCTTAGAGAAGTAAAGATTTACGCAGCAATGTTTAAAGCCAGGATTTCAGCATTAACTGCTAGAAAGTTAGACACAGGTTATCGGATAATGATGAAGTATGGCACATTCCCTCTGCCTTAGTGCATGCATATGAGCCAGGGTTCTTGGGGCATAAACTGACTTTGAGAAGTGGAACCTAGTTTTCATGCATTCGCCCTGTCAGTGGGGCACTCCCTTCTTACCTCCAGGTCTCTTCTCTACTGAAGCATAAATGCCATGTTGCCATTGACACCTCTGCTGTACAGGAGACATTTCCTTCTCTTAAATCACACCAAGCCGGAGCTATTGAAACCCTAAGCTGACTTCTCTCACCTTGCCTATCTGGATTCACCTACATTATTAAAGCCCTCAGGTCAATAACCACTTATAAAATAGAACATGAATTGCATATTCATCCTGCTAAGCCCATAATCTCTGCTAAAGTCACAAATGTCTATTGAAATCTGTGCAGAATTTCAGAATATGCCATTTGCACAGGTGATACAATTCTACCAGAAAATTTCTGGAGAACACTACCGTCAGCCCAAACTGTTTCCCTTCTAATGGTCAGTGGGAGGTTTCCTCCACCAGGCCATCTAGAGAGCTCCCAGGAACCATTACAGGGTGGGGTTCATGCTCCTCAAAGTCTCCATCATTCTAAATTATTATTCATGGTTGACTGTTTCCCAAATTCCTCCATTTCTGTATACTAAAAACACTCTTCGAGCCCTGTTTTAACCATAAACATGTAGAACTGAGTTTCAAACTTGTTGAACACCAAATTTTAGCTTAGGGCAAATAAATTCTGCCTGTGAGATCTAGACATATAGCCCATGAGATTGTGCCCAGAAGTTCAGGAGGAGTTAGGACAGGACTCACCATGACCTTATTGAACATTTCTACATCATTCAGGTTCTCATCAGTCACACAACCAGACTGGTTCAAGTAGCGATAAGTCTCTGGCTCAGAAAGGGAGAGACTCTCTGCAACAGAGGAAGAAGGGACAGGGAGAAGAAAGACAACAATTTCTTTAGCAATCAGCCTTTTTGTTCTTAGTCCCTCAAAACAGTGTGTATGTTTACCATAGGGAGAGTTCATTTGAACAGATTCCATGTCCCTCAAAAGCCACACCTAGACAGCAAATACACTGGGGAGGGAGAAGAGGTGGGTGTGCGGTAACAAAGCTTGCAGAATGATTTAGAACAGCCAAATTCCAAGGTGCAGACTCACAGAAAAATATTTCAATACTGAATTGACTCAGCAAAAAAACCCCATCAAAGCCAGAAGATGAAATTCAATCTCATAAAGTGTATAGAAAAATTCTTAACTATACACACACAGTAATGACTTCTAAATTAGGTATCACCACTTGAGACAGAATTCTGAGAGTCATAGTAAGATTTCTGAAGACATCATCTCAGTGCTGAGCAGCAGTCAAAAACTGAACACAGTTCAGTTCCTTCAGTTTTAGAAGGAATGCAAAACTAAACACAAAACCAGAATTATGTCTCCATACATATCTGTTAGCACAACCACATCTTAAACACTATTTGCAAGTTCGATCCCTCATTTCAAAAAGGATAGAGAAGAACTAAAAGGTCGATGGAGAAAGGAGACAAGGATGATCAAGAGACAGAAACACACCACAGACGGGGGAAGTGAAACAGTCTGGGACACCAGCTCGAAAAGGGAGATGGGGAAGAATAGCAGAGATCTGCTGAAGAAAATAATCTGGTTTGTATGCTTTCCCTAAGTACTTTCTAATAATCATGGTCCCCACTACTTCCCTTTGCTTTAGATGGATCTCTGAACTGACCCATGTGGCCTTCCTTGCATGAATTCCGTAGAGCTGAAGCCCTGCTTCCTTCCACTATGTATGAGGCCCAATTCTTCCATCTGATTATTCTAACACATGGAGAACAAAGGCATAAAGAAATGCCCTCATCCCTCAAAACTAAAGTACAACTGCAACATGTTCCTGCCCACCTATGTGACCTCTTCAGCAAGACCATCAGTCCTCAGCAGTGCCTGGGGCAGGTACACACAAATGCTGTTAAGGGGATGCTGCACTACAAAGAGGATTCTTCCACAGCCTGCAGTTGCTGCTTTCTCTGCATGCCCTCTTCCAGACCCAGCTCTCCCATCCCCATGTAGAGAGCTATAAACCCTTTGTTCAGATACTAGACATGACTCTAGTCCTGACACTACATGGCTGGTCTTTCTAATTCTTTTCTCTCCTATTGCCTATACTGAAGGTTTGTTGTAAAAGTATGTCTGACAGTCCAACCTTTGAACTCCTTGAACAGTTCCCATCAGCAGCTGAATCAAGACTCTTTACCCTTCCTTTGCCTCTAGCCAGTTTCACTACCTCATCTCTCTACCCACTCTTCACTTTGCACAGACTCTTCCTTCCATCTCAGAATGCCTGAAGTGTCTTTTCTCACATAGCATTTCTATCATCCTCAGCCTCTTTCTGTTTTCTCATGACATCACCATATGGCCTTCAAAAAAAAGTTATAGATCAAGTACCTGAAACGTCCATGCTCTAGTTGACTCACACCTGCTTCACATGCTGGACTAGAAAGAGGACAGAGCCATATCCCAGAAAATGAAATTACCTTTCTGCTCCCCACTCACGCCAGCTAGCAGAGCATAAAAGATGTGGTAATTCCTCTCTCCGGGATTCTGGTGTACCACCCTGTTCTGAAACAAAGAATACAGGAGTAGCCAGGAGGAAGAGATGACACTTTTGGTTGCAAAGACAAAGAGAAGACCAGGACACAGGTAAATCTCTGGGGCCAATGCACAAGAGAGGCTTCTTCCAGTTTAGTGATGGTATTGTCTAAGCTCTACATCAAGGTCTTGCCGTGTGTGGCTGTGCAACTGAGCACGTATAGACTTCTCTGAACTCATTTACAGAGTGTGTTCACAGACAGACTGAACCTTGTCAGTTCTGGCCCTGCTCCTCAATGATTTCCTGAGTCCACAGTAAACTCCATCACAGCAGAGATGTCTGCATTTGGAGTTACAGTCCCATATTCATTTCTATGGAATGGAGTTTCCAGGTACTTGTTCTCTCTCCCTTTCCCCTTGGTAAATAGCTTCTTCTTGGAGTCTCTCTGTAACCTGTGGTGTTTATCAAAGACAGGAGAACAGGCTCTGATAGATATAGAACAAACATTCCTCCACCATCCTCTTCCTCAGTTCAGACAGTTGCAGTAGTAACACCTAAGGAGCTAATGTCTATGTGCTGTGACGGAGGCAGTGGAAGAACTGGCACTGTCTCATCATACTATGAGGAGAGGGCTCACCCAGCAGTCCATAGAGGCGATACGTACCTTTTCCAGTAAATCTGAACAGCATGTTAAGGAGAAAACATTAAAATGACATATGCATAGATCTCCTGATGACTGGCAAAAATCTTTCAGACACATTGGGATGAACTCTGCAACAAGCAATAAATCATTAAATAACTGATGCTTTGGAAAGTAGACAAAGAGTGGTCCTAGCCATCACCTTGGACACCTCTCTCTACTCCTTGTCCAAGGAGGTATTATGTGCCAAAGAGATATTTAAAAGGGCAGGGTCAGATAGAGCGTATGACCTGCACAATGGTGAGATAACCTAACAAAGGATGAGCCACATTAGGGACACCTAGAAAGATTAGAGAGGCCACTCTAATCTGAAAGTCTGTATTGCACACAGCAAGCCTTGCATCAGTTCTCATTGCTTCTGCAAAAGACCTCTATCTTTAATCTACCAACAGCACAAAGAGCAGAGACTAAACAATCCAAGCCTGTTATTTACAACAGTAGTAAATTCATCTGGCTGCTACTCCAGTGGAAATTGTTGTAGTTTGCAGTCATCAGCAGCTTCAAACGTCAATATCAAGAAATGTAGCCAGGGCAGCTTTAGCTGTCTCATGCAGACAAAAGATACCTCAAAGTCTTTGGGAGAGGGGTATATGGGCATACAGGGAAGAAAGTGATCATGGCACAACATAGTTTGACTATATTCAGTCTTGCTGTCCTTGTTGTCACTGGAATAGGCTCCTCAGGGAGTCATATGATTTAGTTTTAGGTAGTTCTGCAAGGAGCAGGAAGTTGGACTCGATGATCTTTATGGGTGCCTTCAAACTTGACATATTCTATGATTCTATGATTAGGGTTCCAAGATCCGCTAGGGATGGGCAGCCCAAAACAGGGAGTCATAATTGGCCATCTAAATTCCTGTTCTCCTCTGCACCCAGATATTGTGCAGAATATATTGATTCTTTGCCTGGTCTCACTTTTCTAAATTGTGAATTCATTGGCAGAGCTAAAATAAGGGAACAATCTTCTGGGAAATCAGGATGCAATCAACATGAGGGATCTTCCTAGGTAGCAAATTCTAGGGATTTAAGCATCAAATGTTGTGACTGCCAAAGTGAAAAGTCAAACTATGTCCCTACCTAATGTAGTACCCAGACAAAAGGTTTCTAGAGCTAGGTGCTGCAGAGCCACAAAACAAACACTTCTTCCCTCTTTACCTTGCAGATTTACCTGCAGTTATAAAGTGGCTTTGAGAAACTGTGATGAGGGATTTCCTGACCCACTCTGAGCTCCTCCTCATCTTCACTTACTCCATCCGTTTCTGGTCCACTGAAGTAAAGGATACAATCAGTTACTCGGCCTCCCTGGATGTGTCCATGTTGAGAGAAGTGCAGCTGGATGAACTTGCCAAAGCGGCTGGAATTGTTGTTATAAACTGTCTTGGCATTTCCAAAGGCCTCCAGAATGGGGCTGCAGAAACAAGGCAATGAAGATATGATTGGTGATGGGATAGCATTAAAACAAAGCATGTCCCCAGCCCTTTGCCATTTGCACAGTGTGCACTGCCACGCGAGATTAATTTGTTACAGCACCAGACTGGACAAGAAGGAAGAGCTCAAGGGCAAGGAAGGATGGCAAGAGCAATTTAGCACACTGCTAGATTTTAGATAAATTTTAAACCTTTGCGATTGGATTTAATTGTATCAGTCCCCAATCAGTATGGGCAGCTGGTGCTCATGCTGTCGACGGCATTCTCCACCAGTGTGGCTTCAGGAAATGAAAGGTGGCAAGATCCAGCCAGGTTGTGTGCTTAAGACAGCAGCATCCCATGAAATGGGTTTGTATTTGTTTCAGGATTTTCAGAAGCATCAGACATATAGGGCAAACACTCTGTAGTTTTAAACCACATACTTCTTTGTTTCTGTTTCTACTTTTGAAAGACAAGAGGCAGTATAAGCCATCACTTAAAATTACAGGTAAACATTTTCAAACTAACAGACAAACATAGTATTAAACTGACTTGTTTGGTACTGAAATTTGATATGGGAACACGCGAACCCTCTGTTGTTACTTGAATGTTGCTTAGGTTGATACAAGCCACATGGTTTCCAAGCAGAAGGAATATTATAGACACACAGAAGGAATACATATAACACATTCTAGATTTGAAAACTTCATTCCAAGAGAGCCACATCATCCGCTTCAGGAAAAAAATGTTGCCAAAAAAAAAAAAAAAAAAGAAAAAAAGTCTATCGCCAAACTTCGACAGGTGAGAAACTGAGGAATTTTGTCTCCTGGTCACCTTATTGTCTTCAGGAGGTTCATACAACATGGAAAATAGTGAGTTAAGACACATCTTAGTTCTTGGTCCACAGAACAGTACAAGGGAAAAGCCTAAACCATTCAAACTGACACACTGAATCCAGGATTAAAATATTCATTTTTGCAATTTAGCCAATTCTAAAATAATGTGAAGGCCTGACAAGCAAGGAGTCATGGAAATGCTACAAGAACAGCCTGTAGGCAATCATGTTTAGTTCTAAGACACACACAGTTTTTAACAAAAGTCATTGCAGTTATTACCCTGAGAAATACTGGCTTTTTAAACATCTCCATCGATCTACTGTCCAGTTCCACTTGAGACAGGGGCAGATATAGGATTATTCACAAGTTAATAACTATAACATGACAAATAATCACAACTACAGATACCACTGGAGTTCGCTGAAAGCTTTAGGCCTTGCAAGTGTTAGCTAAGTGAGAGCTGGGCTTGTGGGAAACAACACTGAGGAAATGTCAGGCAGTATTTTCCTAATTTATCTCTTGAAAACATCACTTTAAACAAACAAAAGCATAGAAATGAAATTGCTCTGTTACATTGCTCATTACAACCATAGAAAACCCAGTCACAGATCAGGAGCTAAGCTCCTTGTCCCGGAGAATTCGAACTTCAAGACCGACGCCTCTGAAACAAGTATGTAAATAAGGACATTGCACAGGAATATCCCACTGAGCACACCAACACCATGAATCAAGAAAAATTAATGGGATGACCAGCAAAGGGGAGGACAGAGTCATGTTATATTACCACCACAGTTGCAGTGAGAGTGCAGTAACCAGCCAGCCAATCTTTATGGCTCTAAATCATGTTACATTAGATAAGCAAAGCACAAGGAAGTATCTTTACAGTTTAGTTTGGCAATGGGCTCGTGCACATGAGTGCGGACGTCTTTCAAGGATGGGGGAGGAAACAGGCACACGGGTGTCTGAGGCTGGTGGCAACTGCAAGGCAGAGGGGTGGGTGAGCTGGTAGAGCCAGGAATGAGGGCAGATGCCTGGGCCAAGCGAACTGTCCGCGCCAACAGGCACATCACAACGCGGCATTTGACACAGCAGCGAACTGCGCAAGACGGAGTGGGGCATCAGGAAGGTGATGCTGGGCTAGATGCGGGGAGGGTGTGTTGCAGGACTCAAAACAATGGGAAGCAGCTTCAGCAGGGCAGAAGAAAGCAAAGCCTGGATTTTAGAAATATTGCCATATGCAGCTCCAGGATTCAGCATAGCCGAAGACAAGATAGGAGTTTTGAAGATTTGAGGGATGAATAACAGGAAATGTGGCTATGCTGTCGGCAGTGGCACCCAACATGGAGAAGGGAGCTTCAGAGTGAAGCAAGCAAGAAAAAAAGCTGAGAGGAAAGCTAGCAGAATTGTCAATGGACTGATGGATATTTTCAGGAAGCAAAATAGACCAAATCAACAGTGCCAAGGGAGCTTTCAGAGCCTGATTTCTGAGAAATACACCAAGCACGAATGTTACACTGCACAAGCAAACGACACAAAGCTGATGTAATGCTCTGTTTATAATGCTGTCTGAAATGGTGAAAGAATCCAGCATTGTTCCTGGCTATGTGCTGGGGTGCAAGGACGAGAATCCAGCATAAGCTAACCCAAGGTGGGCCACTAGCAGAGCAAATGAAGCTGAACTGCAAATATATGAAGTAGACTCATTAGGAGTGGCAGCAGCTTCTGGCTCTGGGCCAGGTCCTCAGCTTCTCTTCTTCAGGGAAAAGGTGACAAATCAAATTCTCTTGCACTCGCACTGCAATAGCTCATAGAATCATAGAATGGTTAGGGCTGGAAGGGACCTTCAAAGGTCATCTAGTCCAACCCCCCTGCAAGGAACAGGGATAGCTCCAACTAGATCAGGTTGCTCAGGGCCTCATCCAACCTGGCCTTGAACGTCTCCAGGGATGGAGCATCCACCACCTCTCTGGGCAACCTGTTCCAGTGTTCTGCAACTCTCATGGTAAAAAATTTTTTCCTAATATCCAACCTGAATCTACCTCCCTCTATTTTAAAACCATTACCCCTTGTCCTATCACAACTGGCCCTCCTGAACAGCCTCTCCCCATCTTTCTTGTAGGCCCCCTTGAGGTACTGGAAGACCGCTATAAGGTCACCCCAGAGCCTCCTCTTCTCCAGGCTGAACAGCCCCAACTCTTTCAGCCTGTCCTCATAGGAAAGGTGCTCCAGACGTCTTATCATCTTCGTGGCCCTCCCCTGGACCCTCTCCAACTGGTCCATGTCCTTCTTATGTTGGGGACTCCAGAACTGGGCGCAATACTCCAGGTGAGGTCTCACAAGGGCAGAGTAGAGGGGGAGAATCACCTCCCTCGACCTGCTGGCCACGCTCCTCTTGATGCAGCCCAGGATGCGGTTGGCCTTCTGGGCCGCAAGAGCACATTGCCGGCTCATGCAGCACTAGAGATGGGTCACGAGCTCTCACTCCACTTCACCTCACAGCTGTGGGATCTTGCAGACTCAGGAATCACCTACCTACCATTGTAAGCTTTCTGGATCACAGTCAAGTTACCACTTAACCGCTAAGCAGGCTTGAGCCTTCTAAGCCGTTTGCCTTAAAGCAGATTTTGCAGAGCTTGAGTCATGACTGTATCGCACTTAAGAGCTTTTTCCAATTTGCCAACATCCCTGGTAAAATCTGCATACCTGCAAAGGATAAATCATCCAACAACAGTCTCTCAAGCACCAGGTCCAAAGGCAGCAACCCTTCTGCTCAATGCTGCTCTGCTCTTAAGGATCCTAAAAACTGCAATGCTCTTGCAGCTGCCAGGTTAGGCGCTGCGTGTCTGCTTAGGCTATTTTCACCACAGTTACTAGTAACTTTTTTGCATCACCGTCTTCCAGGAAACATTCCTTTTCTCTACTCTCTGGGCCCTGTAATATGCCACTTGCATGTGAGTCTCTTTTACACATGGGGTTCAAAGGATTCCAGCTTATGACACAACTAGACCCTGTTGCAGACCATGATTTACTCCTCTGAAGGTTTTTGCAACTATCACAGGCTCAAATTGGGACCAACCTGCAGCCTCGCCCTTGACAGTACTGAACTGCAAGGCCTCTACCAAGGTCCTTCAGTCACAGGCAAGACAGCCTTGTGTTGGGAATGCTTTGTTTAATTTAATTTATTAGCTAGAATTCAAGCGTTAAGAGAAAGGAGGACAACAAGCAATAAAACAGATACTTAAGTAAACATTTTTCCTCTCTCTTCCCAAGGCTTACCTGAGTCAAACACCTATTATCATCCTTTTCTTAGCCTCAGCTTCCATTTTCACCTCAGGTTACAGCCAGTTCCTTGCAAGGACCCCCCCCAGGGCAGCACAGGAGGTTGAGGTCGCACAGGAATGGCTGCTCTGCCGCTCTTTGCCTCTCACTGGTTTCCCTTAGCTGCACTTTGCTTCTTCAGGTTTTCCTAACACATTTTCCCTGGGTGTCCCCACTCCAGTGTGGGCCACCCACGGGCCACGGCCCCTTCAGGGTGTCCCTGCCCTGGCATGGGTCACAGTCCTGCAGGGATGTCAGGACCTCCTTTGGCATGAAGGATCCCGACAGAGCCCGTCTCCATCCCCTCATGGCTGCAGGTTCCTTTCACACTCCCAGCTTCAGCTAGAGCGTTGATTCTGTGGCTGCCATGCGCACTGCACACTGCTGTTGGAAAGAAGTCTCATTCATCCGCGGGCAGCTGGGAGAACAGCCGGCATGTGGTGTCCCAGCAAAACCACAACCTCGGTGCTTCCCTGACACGACACCATTCAGCTGCATGATCCTCACTGCCCAGTTCTGGCTCCATCCACGGCCTGGCCACTTCGAGGGCAGTGTCCCCACCAAAGGCAGGCTGCCCCAACACACCGGCATCCACAGGGACAAGGTCCTGCGCACCTCAGAGGGTGACCATACCTGCTTTCCAGGATGGCTTCTTCCACACGAGTGCTCTTCTCAGACACAGGGGACCCAAGGGAGGTCTGGCTCATGGCTGACAGAAAATTCAGCAGCAACTTGGTACTCTCAGTCTTTCCAGCTCCGCTTTCTCCGCTGTTAAGAAAAAAAACATACGTTTCATTCACAAATCTGGGACAGACAGAGCTAACGACCATCCCACCCATGGCAGAGAAGTGATCTCCAGGAATAAAAACGTGGCATCTCTGCTGCGGCAAGCAGGGATCAGGCAAAGGGTAGGGAGGATGGTGTGGGTATTTAGGCAGATGTCGTTGCAAACGGAGCAGCAAGAGCAAGGCAGTCAGGGAGTAGCCGGTTCTCCCATCACAAATCTGGGACAGACAGAGCTAACGACCATCCCACCCATGGCAGAGAAGTGATCTCCAGGAATAAAAACGTGGCATCTCTGCTGCGGCAAGCAGGGATCAGGCAAAGGGTAGGGAGGATGGTGTGGGTATTTAGGCAGATGTCGTTGCAAACGGAGCAGCAAGAGCAAGGCAGTCAGGGAGTAGCCGGTTCTCCCATTGCTAACCTTATCAGAACACACTGGCTGTCATGACGCTTCCACAAGCAGCAGTAGCACTCATTAGCAGTGGCGAAGATATGGGGAGGCAGCTCACCCAGGCGGTGCTGTCTGTACAGGTCTATGGCATCCACACTGTACAGACCAGGGATGGGTTTGTAGGGATTTACTGATGCCAAGATGGAACCAATGTTTGTCTAGGGGGAGAAAACAAAACACAGCAAGGAAATAAAGCTCCTGGAAAAAAAAAAATCACAACAAACTCAGACCCTGAAATAACCCACGGTGAAGAAAGAAAGCCTAAATAATGAAATTGGGCTTCAGCAGAGAGCTCCCCAATTTGGCAAAGAAGCTCAAACCAACCTCAGGGCAGGGGCTGCACGACTAGGTATGGATGGGGCAGTTTGAATTTTGCTGTATTGTATTAATAAAATAAAATGTTCTTAGTCTGTTGTCTTTGCTAAATTAAGCTTACACAATTTAAAAACATGAAGCCATCTTCATACCCATCTACCTTGCACTGCGCTTGAAGCTGAAGAGCAGAGCCAGGACTGAGGGAGTGTCAGGAGATATCTTCAATTCACCTATCCACTGTCTTAAGTGGAGGGAGCTTGGCAGGGTTAAAGTGTCTCCTGAACAAAGAGGTGGGACACAGATGCACACACACACACGTGTGTGAAGAGCCACTAAAGCGTATCATTTTTCTTCTGCTGAAAAAGGCTGTTTGGAGCAGCTTAAATCATTTGGTAAGCCAAACCAGAATTGACAGCTGAAGATTAAGCTTAGGATTTCAAGTCAAACTATTTCTACATTTTCTAAATGCTTTATTTTGAAAATATTTATTTTGAAAATCTCAGAGTTCAAGAAAAGAGTGAGTAAGGTTTAAAATAAAATACTCAAAGCTTACTATCGAATTTCAAACGTATTCTTTCGTGAAGTCAGAAGGAAATTTATTTTGTTTTTTGAGGCATGACTTTTTCGGTTCAGCCAACCAGCTCAAATCCAGTTATTCTCAGAACTGCAGTTCAGAGCAATGGTGCCACCTCTCTCCTAACAATGGCTTTGTAATATGGTCAACATCCAGCTTAAATCCTGCTGCTGGTGCGGTGGCCTCCTTCACAGGGACATCATGGGGTGCTCTGCTCCAGGAACACCCATTCTCAGCAGGGGTGACAGAGGAAACACTTAGATTGCTGCAGCAGATGCCAAGCTTTGTGGCCAGGGACAACATCTAGTATTATTTCCAAACTATGAACTACGAGTCACCACATACAGATACAAGGATTTGCATGCATCCCTTGGAGAAGCTGTAAACCAAACACTTGGTAACAAGAAAGATGCATGCTTTCTTCCTGCCAAATAAAATCTGGGGCCATACTGCAATGCCAAGCTCTGAAGCCAGACTTATAAGATGCTGTAGTCACAAAAATATTTAAGATTCATTTATTAAAGCAGCAGACAGAGATCATCAGGGGCAGGGGGAAAAACATCACCTAGGCCTAACTGCACTATCAGTATGAACAAGCTAGCATGGAAAAAGTCTTGAGAAGCCTCTGACATGGACCTTTGTGGGCAGAAATATAATTCATTGGTGATGAAAGCAATAAGCAAGCAGATGATCTTTGGCAAGACAGGTGGGAGGAAATAGGAAAGCATTGAGAGAGAAAACAAGGATCAGGAAAAAGCATTGTACAAGCAGTTGCGCAACAGATATTGTCCAGACACTACAAGACAGAGATGTCCATCCTAACACTTCTCCCAGACCTTCACAGCACTTTTTCCTCTCAGATGTTTCATTTTGAAATTTCCCACTCTAGTTTCAGCTCTCCCAAGGAACAGAGCTCCCGCTGCAGTCCTTTCCAGAACTTCTTCCACTACAGCCATCTCTTTCAATGGTGTTTCTAGGAAACTTTTCCATGTCCCAGTTGCAGTATCCTCATCACCTGCAGTCCCTTACAGACAATTTCCATCCACAATTTTTAATGACAGAAGCATTTCTGCATCAACCATGTACATACCAGCCACTCTATTAGCGAGGAGTGATCGCTGCCAGAGAACTCTGTGGAGCAGGACAAGCCACGTGTGGCATGTCAGCTTCTCAAGAAAATAAGTCCTACTTAGGTGCTTAGGCATGGTAGAGCTAGGGACAGCATAAAATGCGGCAGTACAGCCCATGGCTCATTTATACATCATTCACACTATGTTGCATCTACTTTTATTAACGGATACAGGAATTGCAGGAATGAAGGGGGAAGAGGCACTCCTAAAAGCTGCAGGCTGTTGGTGTGCTCACATCATTTCCTTAAACAGTTTGGCAGAGCTTGACTAACATTTCTTTGGAAAATAAAAGGTACTGTTGAGATTGTCAGTATTCCCGTAGCAAATTAATCATGGGTACCACACCAGTCTAGATACACTGCTACCTACACTCCCTCACCAGACAGGATCCCATTTAGGAGCTCACGGTAAGATGCCTCCAGGCACACAGCTCAGAACTGCAGTGCCTTTTTGCACAGCAGTTGTCTACTTCACATTAATTATTTTTATTACTATTTATTATTGTTATATTTAATATTAGTTAACAGTATTCCAGGTTACTCACTCCTTCAGGTGAATTTGTTTCCTAGAAAACAATGATATTTCTTACCTGTTTCTGATCTCTCTGATTTCCTTCCAAATATTTTTGGCCCTGACTGATAGGCATAACTCCTCTCATTACAGCTCCATCTGCAACCTTAGCCTACTGTGTTCTATCTGTGGAGACCGTTGAGGAGAATATTAAATAAACTCAAGCCCTGTAACATTCATGGTATTCACAGATCACTGCAAGTCATTAGGTGGCACTACAGCTGACATTCTCAATTTCTGCTTAACTGAAAACTACATGAAGCAGGGCTACGGCAAAAATAATAGCGATAAGATAACTGCAATATTAATGTCTGCGCTGCAGAAATGCAAAACAGCACTTGTATGGTTTGGTGTCCTCCATATACCCAGATACAGTCCCACTCAAAGAAGGGCTTACAAGCCTTCACTGAGGGGTTCTTCCCAGTGATGAACATGTTACAGAAGTCAGGCCCCTTCATAAATCTCAAAAAAATTCAGATCTGATGTGCACAGCTGACATTGATGCAATATGCACAGGTAAAAAAATGCCATCATATTTAAACTTTAACACCTCTACACATGGACGGAGAAGGCACATAACTAATGCTGAATAGGAGAAGGAATGACATATCAGAGCTAGAGGAAAGGCTTAAGGAGATATGTCTGCTGTGACACTGTCACAGTGCTGGTGTTGTGGCATTTCTGGTGCAAGGTACAGACTGAAAAGGGAGAGAATCCTGCCTCACGTTTCGAAGTGTGAGGAAGAGGAAACAAGAGGAATATACCCAAATGGGCAAAGAGCTGCATAAACACATGGCACGTGTCAAACAGAGGTCAGGAAGAGCAGCAAGGACAAGGGCCATTAAAAGAGCATGTGCACATGGCTACTGCCACAGGGTCACAAGGCTGTGTTGGCAGACAACAGGCAAGAGGGTCTACAGCAAAAAAAAAGAGAATTTGCAGTCTCCTCTGCATCTCGGGGCAGGAGATGGTCCAGAAATGGGGTCACTTTATTGATCATTTCCTGGAATACAGGTGCATATGGTTTGGTTGCCTTGGTAACAGTTGCTATGCAACACAGATAGCGATTTACATTTTTCCTGTTATAAGCTGAAGAACTCTGGGTGCACACAGCATGGACAAGCAAGGTAGAGTAAAGCAAGGTAAGGCAATCTTTGTAATATGTCCTCCTGGTCCTCTCCAAGCCTCAGCAGAGCACAATGCTATCCCAGCACTCCAGGGATGCCAATTCCCAGGTGTGCTTTTCCTCACAAGTCCCTTCCCTGACACTTGCCTCCCTCCTGAGGGCCAGAGAGGGAAACCAGGAAGACGGAAAACAGGAGATGCTTTGAGTACTCATCTGTGCAAGGAGAGCAGAGCAAATAAAAAAAGGCACAACTATATGTAAAAGAAGAATTAGGCAACAAGTTTGCTTTCCTAGTTTTGTCGAGCAGCAGCTTTGTCCGGATCAGGAATGACACTCAACAACCTGTATACACTGCACTTTCCAGTCTGCTTGGCCATATAAACCTTTGAACAGCAATAATGGGGAATCTGGGGAACAAAAATGCCAGCTTGTAAAACACAGATGTTCATGGAGGATACAGAGCTGCACAACTACCACAAAGTCTAGAGGTGAACATTCATATTTTGGAAGGTCTTCTGTAGATGCAGAGAGGCCCATCTGGTAGGAGTAGGATCTCACAGGGCTGATGGAGCTGGCAAGGCAGGAAAAACCTTCGTTTCTATCCGCAGGAAACAACGCTCAGGAAACAATGCTAAAATCAGTATTTCACATGCAAAGTGGTATCCCTGAAGCTAAACAAAAAACGTTAGCCAGAAGACATGTGGCCCAGCTTAAGCACTTACGTAGATGTTACCCTGTTGGTAGCGCTGGTGCAGGTTAAGCAGGATGGCAGCTTCATGCAGATCTCCCAGCATGGACATGTCTTCTACCCCATCAATGCTGGTCTGGTGCATTGGCAAGACCTTTTCTCTGGAAAGAGAGGCCTTGGGGTACTGGAATACCTGGAAGAATGGGGAGAAACAAATAAGCTCATGACACCTGAGCACATGGTCTGATTTGCTACCAGAAACATGCCCTTTTCTATAGCTTTATACTTCAGCACTAGAAAAGGAAATGAGTAAGGCACATGGTCTGCTCCCTATTTTTACAGTCATTCTTCCATTCCTGTTCCTATCTATTTAAGCTCTCTGACCAGAAACCATGCAGTACACTCCCTTCTTTTGCTACAGAGTCAGTCTCTCACCTTCACCACTGATGGGGACAGACCAATACAAGGTTACTTGATTTTTACCGAAATCCCCTTAGCAGGAGCAGGGCACCAGCCTCCAGCTGCACTAGGCTGGACAGGTATTACACACTGCACTCATGACTGTGAATAATGATGGCAGCTGCTCCCAAGGGACCAAGAAAAGTTTCACAAAAACACCGGTGGGATCACGTCTCTGACTGTGAGGAGGTTGAGGCAAAGCTTATTCACATTCCAGGTTTGGCCCTGCGCTCTCCATAGGAGCAGCCAGAGAGCGGGAGAGGCTGTCATGTCAAGAGCAAAGGAAAGCAAAGCAGATGAGAAGCCAAATAAAATAGTGACATCCTGTGTGCATGTTGGCATGTATGTATACGATGCAGCTTTCTAAGTGTTTGTACAGTGACAGCTATTAACTTCTATCACTGCTCTGGGAAGTACCCACTTCGCTCTCTCTATGCATTTGCATTCTTCTTCCCTCAATTGCTGCATCCTTCTTCCTGCTACAGTTTCCTCCTCCTCAATAACCCACTCTTCAGCTATCAGGTCATCCTCTTCCCCTTTCAACACAGCTGAGAGATGTGACTGTTCCCCTCCACCATAGCCACATCCCAGCCCTCCTTTCCTCCCCCTCAAGCACGATGCTGGCATTTCACAAAGTTATTTCAGTTGCTTCCCACTCTTGGATTCAACCATGTGCCATCTCCCACCCAGCATTCCAAGCTGCACTAGATGGTAAGACCCAAGATAGACAGATGGGAGACTTCATACAGGCAGCCTGGAGAAGCAAAAGCAAGCTAGCCCTCAGTAACCCTTCCAAAGAAATCTGGCCTTTTCCTTCCCTTTTGGGGCTCTGGTCCCCACCTCATTGCCATCCCTACTTCTCAGCCCTCCAAGGCACCAGCAATAAACTGATGGACTCCCTAAACAATGAAACATGATCTGTAGCGTTGATCTAACTGCTTTCTCCTGCCTGCTTTCTTAGAGTCCTCGGGCTGCCGTAGCTGCTAGGGAGAGCCCAGCCACGCAGCCGCGGGCTGAAGACAGAATGAGGTCACCCTGCCCCCTCCAGCGAGTCCCGCACTGGGCACTCACTGCTGCAGCGCATTGCAGGTGCCCAGTGAGCAGCACCCCTCCTCAGCTCTGAGCCTGCACCCTTGATGGTGCGGGGAAGGAAAAACCTGGCACAGGACCCCTTTACAAGACCCCCACGATGCCTGCAAAATTGAAGCAACAGCTCTGTTCCTGCAAGGAGCTGGGGAGGAGAAGCAGGCTCATTCCCAGATGTGTTTGCCCCAGGTCTGCCCAGTCACACCTAATGCGACAAGGACTTTGTCTCTTCCACTGGGAGACCACCGGCACAGCCTGATTCTCTCACCAGAGGAGGGGCTTTCAAAAATACATAACTCGTTTTCATGAACAGTCCACTCTAGCACACAGGCTCTCTCCAGGCCTCCCTGGTCTTCTCTGCACCACTTCTGCAAGTGGGTATCAGAGAGGTACAACTCCACCAGCAGCAGGACCCCCACTCTGCAAGCATGGACCAAAAACAATCACAACAATTTTATTTTTTCTTCTTCAGAGCAGAGGCCTCAGACACTTCCACAAGAGAAATGAAGGAGCAGGAAGGGAGAACGGGACAACTAAATTCAGGGGAGAGTACAAGCTGCAGCTGCACAACATGAACTGGACTCTTTCGAGAGCAAAACCACTACTGCACTTTCAAACTATGATGCAGCAAACCACCCTGGCTCTCCCTTCTCTGCTGACTTGGACAAATTTTGGAAAGGGACAAGTCCAAAATGGTACACCGTGATCTTTCTTTACATCTTCCTGGTGCTTACTCATGTACCACTGCATTGTCAGCACTTGTGGCCATTTGGGCAAGAAGAGAAACATTAAGAAAACATCTAGGGAAAAAGCTGAGCAGAGAAGTGTCCCAAAAGATACCAGGCAGTAAGCAGCACCTGTGCCAAGAGGCTGCTATGCATGGAAAATAATTGTGTGATGGGTCAGAGCTTGTTTACTTGCTTTTGTAGACAACACCGGAGAAAATGGGACTCTGAAGAGGTCCTAAATACACAAGTAATTGATTAGTAGGGATTAGATCATCACCTGTTAAACCTATCTAGAGCCACCTAATTGGGCTTATTCAGTCATCCTTCTCTGAAAAACTCTGGTCCAAGATCCTCAAAGAGTTAAGCAGGTGCTCCAGCAGGACTGCGGCAAGGTGGATCAGGAGCATTGGCTCTGGGATCCTCTGGGCAGAAACACCACACGGGTGAAATGTACACCCTGGAGGAGCGGTCTGATGCCACACTGACACCCCAGCCAAGGCTAAGATGTCTGTCCCCTGAGGCTGGAGAGGTTAACGAAAGACCGTTGCCCATCACTGCACCCATAGCAGCTCACCCTTCCTCAGGCAGAGGCTGGAAGGCACTTGTGGCATGAGAGAGAGGTTTCAGGCCTTCTCTGGGAGAGAGCTGACTTTTAATCTCCAGAGTAGAGACAAGTCTGTACCACCAACAGACTGCAGAGATCATCCAGGGTCCTGGGGACAGACATGTGGTGGTTTTTTCCTCCCAGATTGTGTCCAAGGGGCTTTCCTCAAGGAGCTCTGAGGTTTGAGAGACAAACATGACCCAGACATGATGACCCTCCACCCTTAGAGTTTGCAAGGTGCTGCACTGATCCAGACTAGCCAGGCCCTTTCCCACCTCCAGCCACTCCAGTAAAGGGAGTCTTGTTATCCCACTGCTCACTTCTGGACCTCTCCAGCAATCTGCCAGCAGAGCAGTTTGGAAGAACATCCTCCCCATCATCCTGTCCCAGGTAAGGTGAGCCAGGCTGCTTTCAGCAGCTTGCACTACTGAGCTGAATACGATGGCTGATTTTGCTTAAAGCAAGTGAGAACAGACAAACCGATCTCTCAGCAGAGCTCCCTCTGGAATATCCCTTTTCCAATAAGTCAGAGAGTTACAGATGTTAATAAGCAGATCTTTATTATTTGGGAAGAAAAACCATCAGCTTTCAGTCTAACTACAAACAAGCCATCAAATACCACACAGGCACCTCACAGCACAGTCAAAGATTTCTACTTTCTCCCCAGTGATAAACAGATTTTTGTCTCAGATTTAGCCTACAGCCAGGACAGAACAACCAGGGCTCTCTCCAACGGTCAGGAATAAAGCAAAACCTGGCCAGTAGACAAGCCAAGATGAGGACTGCCAACTCTGCTCATCAGGCTGAGCAAGGGAGAAATGATTCCTTCTCAACCTCAAATCCATCCATTAGTACAACCCCGAGCACGTGAGCAAAGCTCCCACCCGGCATCGACGTTATGTTTATCCATAAAGCATTCTACTGCTCTGTCTCGACTGTGGTTTCCAATCTTGTGTTTCATAAGTGTCGGCTCCTCCTTTCCTCCCAGGAAGTCACATTTCTGATGGATTTGTTGCTTGAGCTGTTTTTAAGGAAGCAAAAACAAATGGCAAAAGCTCTGAAGCATGACTGGACTTCTTACCTCAGAGCTGCAAGAGCCACAGGGCCACAGCAAACTGAGGACACTAGATTTAGGGATCCTAAAATCAGAGGTATCGACTGGCCCATCCAACCCAAAGTGAAGAGAATATGTTTTCACCTGAGTTTTCACCTGGGGTAGGACAGCCAGTCCCTCCTACAGTTATGAAGCAATGAGGGAAGCACATGGGACAGCTATAGCGGAGGGCACTGAATAAAGCCCTTCAACGACCGTCATGTGCTTTTCTGCATAAGCCGTAACACACATGCTCCTTCAGCCTACTGGTTTCTTTCATGGAGGAAAAAACCCAAATTCAGCTCTTTTTAGACCTGTGACTCCACCCAGATTTATCCTGTGCCTATTTTCTAACATGGACACAGGCTGGTAGTGGGCGCACCCACTCACCTGGCTCTATGGTGGGATTTCTGCTGTCCTTTCAGAGGTGCCAGGTGAGTTTGGAGGATGTTCCAAGGCCACAGCAGCATATCAGAAGAGACAGAAGCAAATCTGGGAGAGTCACAAAAGCACTCACCATTTGTTGACCCTCCGCAGGCTGCTGCATTACTTGTGATGAATGCCCCTGTGATCTCTTAAAATGAGTTAGTGACCACCCAGCACTCCCAAAACAAAACAACTCCTCCAGAAAGGTTTTGAGAGACTAGAGTAACCAGATGGAAAACTCGTGTCTGCTAGGTGAGTTTCTGTCTCTGGGAAACAAATCAGGCTCTTTAAAGAGGAATGATTATTTGAAATCTAGCCCTTTCAAAGCAAGACTGAAAAATACGACAGTCCTACTACCGGCTCTCCACAAGCTGGAGTCTTAAATTCCCTTTCCCCCTGTGCCCTCCTTTCTTTGTCAGGTAAGAGGCTGAAAAACTCCTGTCCAATTTTCTGTAACAAAGAAGCTGCCTGCTGAGCACCATTCACCAAAACAGCTGAGCAGATCTAACTGATCTCTGCTGGAGGACACAGTCCTGCCAATCTCCCCATCCTCCTCCCAGCCCAGGCACCAGTTTGACTCATTGAGAACCTCAGTGAAGGCATCAAATATCTTTCCCAGGGTTAGCAAGCTGAGCTGACTCATTAAGGACTTGGATGATCTGCAGAGGTCCCTTCCTACCAGTGTTACTCCATAAGCACTGCAGCAGGCATGCCACAAGATATAAGGAGCTCAGGGCTGGAAACAGGGCAGGAAAGAGTCTTGTTCCTATTGCTGGCAGAGAGCTCCGCTCTCAGTGGAGCTCGGCTGCCTTGTTGAACTGTCCCATGCATGGCTGCTGCACCAACACTGCTGACACTCACTGTGTCTGGGAGCTCACTTCCACGTGCCCCCGAGCCGAAGGGCTGATGGCAAAAGCTGCTGAAGCAGACAGCGGTGAACACAACAGCCCTTACAGCAGCACAGCTTGCAAGAAGCACATCTTGGCAGGAAGGGCTGCTTAGTTAGTGGAGCTGCCTCCTTCCTAGGAGCATTTTGCCAATATAATGCTTTCACTAGGCTGTTAATGCAACTCCTTCAAAGATGGCACAAGAAAAAACAAGCGAAGTGAGGTGGGCAGACAAACGAACAGAAGAAAGAGAACAATCTTCTCTTTTTAACCTTTGTTAGACTTTGGCATCGTTTGCGACAGAGCCAGCTCACTTTTCAAACAGAATTGCAGCATTTCAGTTCATACGTTTCCTTTTAACGTGAAGGTCATTCAAGACCAAGAAGTCCATCCTGCAACTTGGCATAGGCTACAGCCTCATACAAACTTCACTTACCGTGCCATAATCTGAGGTGAAGAGTACGTTTCCATCGGCACATGAGCCAACAGTGCATGGCTGCAGCTGGTCCTGCTCCCGCAGCCATACCCTGGCACCCTGCAAAAACCAGAAGACCTCCCATTAGAAAGAACCGGAGCCTGCAAGACATGCACACAGGGTGCAAACACCCAAGAAAGCTGGGAGAAGCTGCAGTATTCAGAGGCTACTTCCAAGCTACAGCTGTTTAAAATTTTTAAGCAAGTCCTACTTATGTTTTCAGAAAAACTGGTTTTGATTTTTTTAACGTAACGTGAGAGGAAGAAGAAGCAGTGTTAACTAGTTTCATGTGGAAACCAACGTAAGGAAATACCATTTTTTATAGAAAGAGTCATGGAAAGATACAAACATGCAGAACAGTGGTTTTGACTGTCTAAATATTTTCAAACTTAGAATAGCCAGGCATTAAAAGTCATGCTATAATAATAATAGCAAATATAAACAAAGCATGTTTACAATTTCATACACCCACACACCATTGTAAGTCAAAATACTTCCAGAAATCATCAGCAACAGCTAAGTAGACTTCACAGAGCTTTGTCTGCCTCTCTCACAAGAGTTTCCTTTGGTAAATGACATGATTTGAGTGCTTCTCTGATGTATATATGATGACCCTGATATAGATAGTTTCACACACTACAACATCTTAAATTGCTCAGTGTCTTTCAAGACAACCCTGGTAGCACATACGCAGGGATCTGCAGGGCAAGCAGATCTCATAGCTTGCCCACCAAAAAAGCACAAGGGAAATCAGTTTGCTGGATCAGCCTTTTCTG